CTACTGAGAAGGAAGGAAGGAAGGAAGGAAGGAAGGAAGGAAGGAAGGGAGGGAAGGAAGGAAGGAAGAGGAAGGAGGGAAGGAAGGAGGGAAGGAACGAAGGAAGGGACCTATAAGGTATATTATGAGATGATCAGGGATATTTTAATATTGACCTATATTAGATAATAGTGTAGTATTAAGGTCAAATTCCCTGAATGTGATAATTGTGTTGTTATGGAGGAGGTTAAGAAGGAGAAGTCCTTGTTTTTAAGAGAAACATGTTGAAGTGCGAAGCCTTTTGTGATGAAAGGGCACAATGTCGGCAACTAATTTTAAATGGTTCCAACAGGAGCGCCTGGCTGGCTTGGTCAGTAGAGCACACAACTCTCAACCTCGGGTATGTGAGTTTGAGCCCCACGTTGGCTGTAGAGATTTCTTAAAAATAAAATCTTTTATTAAAAATGTTTCCAGGGGCGCCTGGGTGGCTCAGTGGGTTAAAGCCCCTGACTTCAGCTCGGGTCATGATCCCAGGGTCCTGGGATCGAGCCCCGTATCGGGCTCTCTGCTCAGCAGGGATCCTGCTTCCTCCTCTCTCTGCCTGCCTCTCTGCCTACTTGTGATCTCTGTCTTTCAAATAAACAAAATAAAATCTCTTAAAAAATAAATAAAATAGGGGCGCCTGGGTGGCTCAGTGGGTTGAGCCTCTGCCTTTGGCTCAGGTCCTGGTCTCAGGGTCCTGGGATCGAGCCCCGCATCGGGCTCTCTGCTCCGCAGGGAACCTGCTTCCCCCTCTCTCTCTGCCTGCCTCTCTGCCTACTTGTGATCTCTTTCTGTCAAATAAATAAATAAAATCTTTTAATAAATAAATAAATAAATAAATAAAATAAAAATGTTTCCAGGTCATGCGAGTGGCTCAGTTGGTGGAAGTAGCTGCCTTTAGCTCGCCTTATGATCTCAGGGTCCTGGGATCGAGTTCCACATGGGGCTCCCTGCTCAGTGGAGAGTCTGCTTCTCCCTCTTCCTCTGCTCCTCCTCCCACATGTGCTCTCTCTCTCTCAAATAAATAAATAAAATCTTTTTTTAAAAAGATTTTATTTATTTATTTATTTATTTGCCTGAGAGAGAGAGAGAGGGAGACTCTATCCCCTGCAACATTAGTCATTGTTTGGTTAATTTCCACTCATCTTCTGATCTCAGCTCAAATGCCACTCCCTCCAGAGAAGCTGTCCCTGACATTTCATCTGGGTCAGATGGCTCTTCTATAAGCGGCTGTGGCACCCAGGCCTCTAAGATGAGCTGCAACTATCCTCACCCGATATTCGCGTCCCTTCCTGTATAGGATAGGGCTCATCTGTGTACCAGCAAGATACGGCAGAAATGAGGGGGTGTGACGTCTGAGGCAATGTCATAGAAGATATTGCTGCTTTGGCCTTGCCCTTTCTTGGATCATTCACTCTGGGGGGAAAATAGCTGCCACGTGAGGACACTCGAATGTCCTTGTGGACAGGTCCACCTGGTGAGGAACTGAGCCCTCCTGTCAAAAGCCAGCATTAGGGGTGCCTGGGTGGCTCAGTCAGTTAAGCGTCTGCCTTTGTCTCTGGGCATGATCCCAGGGTCCTGGGATTGAGCCCTGCATAGGGCTTTCTGCTCAGCGGGAGGCCTGCTTCTCCCTCTCCCACTCCCCCTGCTTGTATTCTCTTTCTGTCTCTCTGTCAAATAAATAAATACAATCTTAAAAAAATTATAATAATCCCAGGCTCCTGGGACTGAGTCATGCATCAGGCTCCCTGCTCAATAGGCAGCCTGCTTCTCCCTCTCCCTCTGCAGCTTTCCTTGCTTGTGTGAGCTCACTCATTCTCTCTTTCTGTCAAATAAATAAATAAAATCTAAAAAAAACAAAAAGAAAGAAAAGAGCCAGCATTAACCAGCCAGCACCACAAATGAGCCATCTAGAAGAAAGATCCTTCAGCCCTAATCAAGTCTTCAAGTCTTCAAATGACTGCATTCCCAGCTGATGTCTTTTTTTTTTAAAGATTTTATTTATTTATTTGAGAGAGAGAGAGAGACCATGAGAGAGGAGAAGGTCAGAGGGAGAAGCAGACCCCACATGAAGCTGGGAGCCCGATGTGGGACTCAATCCCGGGACTCCAGGACCATGACCTGAGCTGAAGGCAGTCGCTCAACCAACTGAGCCACCCAGGCGCCCTGAGTCTTTTTTTTTTTTTTTAAGATTTTATTTATTTATTTTAGAGAGAGAGAGAGAGCACACCACCAGCATGAGCAAGGGGAGAGGTAGGGCGAGAAGCAGAGGGACAAGCTTCGGCTCAGGTCATGATCTCAGGGATCCCAGGACCCTGAGATCATGACCTGAGCTGAAGCAGACACTTAGCCGACTGAGCCACCCAGGTTCTCCCAGAGCTGATGCCTTGAATGCAACTTCATGAGAGTCTCCAAGCCTGAACCACCCAGTTAAACTGCTCCCGAATTTCTGACCCACAGAAACGGTGTGAGATAAGAAATATTTATTGTTTGCTAAGTAATTTTTTTTAAAGATTTTTTTTTATTTATTTATTTGACAGAGAGAGATCACAAGTAGGCAGAGAGAGAGGAAGGGAAACAGGCTCCCTGCTGAGCAGAGAGCCCGATGCGGGGCTCGATCCCAGGATCCCGGGATCATGACCTGAGCCGAAGGCAGAGGCTTAAACCACTGAGCCACCCAGGTGGCCCTGCTAAGTAATTTTAAAATTTATTTGCATAATGTCCTTTACATTTATTTCCTCTGCAAGACCATGAATGTTGTGTTGTCATGAATGTTGTCAGGGTGGAGAGAGTGTCTGTTTTTTGATATCTATTCATCCATTCATTCATTTATTCATTCATTCAGTAAATGTTTGCTGAACACCAGACTTGTGGCAGGCTCTAAACTGAGCACTAGAAATCAGGGTTGGAACTAAGGTGAGGCAAGTGAGGTGTCCAGGGAACAAATTTCAAGGAGATTCTCACTTTCATGCTCATGCAAGAGTTGGGTAAGTCCCAAGGAATGAGTGCCTTTTTAAATTTTACACCCTGGGCACCTTGTTTACCATCTCAGTCCCAACCCTCTTAGAGCAGTGCACAAAACAGAAATGATCCCTAACCCTTTTTTGCCCTTGCAATAATTCCATAGCTATGTGTTGGTTCTTCTGTTAATACTGTACTTTTAATTTATATTGTTCTATGATATGCTTTGTTTTCATTAGGGTTAAGTCTGTCCTTGGTATTAATAGTGATATTTTATTGAGTGCTTACCAAGTTACCATGTTCTAGATGATGTAGATATACTAATACACAGGGTCCCTGCCCTCAACCACCTAAAGGGAGATGTAGACAACATACATTAAACACACCCCAAGTAAAATCATTAAAAATTGTTATTACAGGGGGTGGGAGGTTGGGGGAACCAGGTGGTGGGTATTAGAGAGGGCACAGATTGCATGGAGCACTGGGTGTGGTGCAAAAACAATGAATACTATTACGCTGAAAAGAAATTTTTTAAAAAATTGTTATTACAAGCAGGGGGACTGGGAGAGGGAGAAGCAGGCTCTCCGTCCAGCAGGGAGCCCCAAGCAGGGCTTGATCCCAGGCCTCTGGGATCACGACCAGAGGCAAAGACAGACGCTTAACTGACTGAGCCACCCAGATGCCCCAGTTCTCAAATATTTCTTTTCCTCTTCCAGCAATTCTTTAGTTAGTATCTAAAGGATGAAATTGAGAGTCAGGCAGAAGCTTCTAGGAGTTTCTTGAGCTTCAGGGGTTCATTGGATCTCCCCAGTGACATTATGAGAAAATCAAACTAACCCATAGAATTTTGGCGGTGGGAGATGGGGACCTTTGTATGAAGGATCCTCTATACAGGTCTGTGGAAGTGGTGTTTAAGGTAAAGGAAGAAAAGGGGCCAGCCACAGAATGAATGAGGGAAGGCTTTCTACGGGAAAGTGCAAAGGAAAGTCGCTGAGTTAGGAAAGCATTTGGCCTATTTGAGTAACTGAAAAGCGACAACTGTACCCTCTGGATAGATGTAAGAAGCCCCCCTACTATCTGATGTATGTTAACAATGATCTTTCATGATATTAACTAGTATTTATTGGGCGCTTGCTCTATGTCAAACACAATGGATAAGTACTTTGGAAACTTAGCGAAGCTTTAAAACAACCCTACCGACATGACCCCTTGATCCCTCCTCTTTACAGATGAAGAAATTGAACTAAGATTGGAAGTTGTTGTCCCAAAGTCCTCCAGCTAGGAATTGCAATGGGAGGATTTGTACGCCGTTCTGACTCTCGAAAACGTTCTCTTAACCCACTGTCCATCACCCACAGGGAAACGCACAACATATTTTAAACAAAGCACTAGGTGAGTGCGTAAAGACTTACCTTTAGAGCTCCCACAGCGCAGTTCCTTACTTTAAACTACTATTTCCAGGGGCGCCTGGATGGCTCAGTGGGTTAAAGCCTCTGCCTCCGGTTCAGGTCATGATCCCAAGATCCTGGGATCCAGACCCTCAACGGGCTCTCGGGCTCTCTGCTCAGCAGGGAGCCTGTTTCCCCCGCCTGCCTCTCTGCCTACTTGTGATCTCTGTCAAGTAGATAAAATCTTTTTTTAAAAATTAAAAATAAAATAAAATAAAATAAACTACTATTTCCAACATGCCCTTCTCGCCTTGGGAGGATGGGGCGGCATGCGGCGGGGGAAGCGGAATGGGGGGACCGGGTTGGGGGTACCGGGTGGACGCAGGTCTATAGGAACTACATTTCCCAGAATGCAACTCCCCATTGCTGGCTGTCACGCATGTCGTGAATTGTAGTCCTCGGGAAGAGACTTTCACCCCCAACTCCCGGCATGCATTCAGGGTCGGTACGATGTGGGGGGGAAAAGGACGGTCGCGGGGCATGTTGGGAAGCGGGACCGGCCCTTTTCCCAGGCTTGCAACCGAGCGGAGCGAACGCATTCTTGAGACTACAGGTCCCAGTGACCTGTGCGCGAGAGGGCGGGCGAGTTCTTCTGCCGGAAGTCCGCTCTAGTCCTGGGTCCACTAACTGCTGCGAGAGCCGGAGCTGCCAAGGAGCCGCGGGACTGGGGCTGCTGGGGTCCGGACGGGGGTCGCCATGGTAACGGGGGGCGCGCCCACGTGGGGGCCGTGCGGAGGGTGGGTCCACGTGCAGGTACTCAAGGCTCGGTCGGGTACTGACAAGCCTCCCCTGCCGCGGTGCGAATGGTTTGGGCCCGGCGCGGGCTTTCAGGATTGGGACCGACCCGAGGCCCGGGAAGGGGGAAACTGGACGGTGATTCCGGGCGCAGGAGTGCACCGGGGGTCTCGAAGTCAGGAGACATTAGAGACGGGGTGCCGAGGGGAGAGGGCTGTGCGGGAGGGAGACATTGGAGATGACTGACAGGATGGGGGTTGAAGTGAGGAGGCAACTCGAGAAGGGGGATCTCGGAGGTGGGGTGGGGGAGGACTTGGAGATGGGGAGGGGGCGTCCCAAGAGAAAGGCGCGTCTCAAAAGAAGGGCTCTGTGGGAGTCTGGCAGGATAGTTGGAGAAGAATGGGAGACACTGGGATTGGAGAGAAGGGGTCTTTAGAAGCCGGAAGCTGACATTGAAGGCAGAGGGGGTGTTGAAACGGGCGGGGTATTGCCGATGAGAAAGAGAATCTCAAGGGGACGAGACTGGGCACTGCAGACGGGAAGTAGGTTACCATAGGGAATGGGGCTTTGGAATCAGGGGAAGTGTGCCACAAAGTGGGAGAAGGCTTGGAGGTAGGGAGTGGATATTTGAAACAGATGGGGAGCAGTGGAACAGGTCTTTCCAAGAAGAGGTGCCTTGGGTAGGGAGCAAGCATGGAAATGTGAGAGATGGGGATGGAGTTTTTGGAGCAGGGACTGGGCTTTGGATCTGCCCCCACCCCCACCCCCCGCCCAGGGTGGGTCTTTGGACCAAAAGCAAGGATTCTTGGAAGGGAGCTGGAAAAAGAGAAGAGTGGTGGTGGGTGTCAGAACAAGGAGGGAGTCTCCCCCACAAACACGGTCCTTGAAGGCAACATGTGACCTTTGGAAAAGGGAAGAAGGCCTTGGCATCGGAGGAGTGATATCCCAAGTAAAAGGTCTTCCGAGGCATGAGAGAGGGGATTGAAACCCAGGAATTGGTAGTCAAGGGGAACAACGTGAGGGGAGGGGGCTTGGAGACAGGGAAGGTTGGGAGGCATCCAGAGGGAACATCAGAGGGGTGAGGCCGCAGGAAGGAAGGGACCTCTCAGGGTAGACTCCCAGAGATGGAGAGATTCTAACTGGGAGAAGAAACAGGAAGAGGTGTTACAAGGGAATTTGCGGGTAAGAGGCGGGGCTCTCCCTCAACCCTTTTGGGTCTCCTTCCATATGCTCCTTATGTCTCTGGCTCTGCCCCCAGGTTGTGGCATCCTGGTGGGGGTCCTCCCTCCCCACTCACCACACCCCTGCCAGGCCTGTGCCCTTTCCCTTCCTACCCAGGATCCCTGGCCTGGTGGGAAGTGGTTTTCCATGGCTCAGCAGAAGGGGTTCTTGGAAGGAGAGTGTAATATCCTGTTCCTGTCCTGCTTGATTGGTTGGGGGAGGGGGGCTAGAATATGGGAGAATGAGGCTTAGGAAAGAGAGTGGACTCCCAGGAATAGGTAGGGGCTCCCAGAGGGTAAGCCAGGGTAAGGGGGTCCTGAGCAAAGCCTTTGGACTCCCAGTTATGCTTTGTGGCTGCGAGACTTCCTTTCTCTGAGCCTTGCTTTCTTCAACTGGGTAAACACATACCCGTCTCAAACAGAACTAGGCCCAGAGACAGGCTTCCTACCTGGGTGAACTTGGGCCTTGGTTTTCTTCTACTACTAGTAGTAGTAGTACTACTACTTCTTCTTCTTCTTCAGGTTTTGTTCATTTATTTGAAAGAGAGAGCAGGATTGGGGGTAGGGGGAAGCAGACCCCTCACTGAGCAGGGAGCCCCATTAGGGGCTCAATCCCAGGACCCCACCAGGGTCATGACCTGAGCTAAAGGCAGATGCTTAACCAGCTGAGCCACCCAGGCACCCCCAGCCTTTGTTTTTCTTAAAGTCAAATGATGGTGAATTATAATACCGCTAAGAAGGAATACTTCTGTGACATTTAGCATATGCTGGTCACTGTGCTACACCCCTTACGTTTGTTAACCCGTGGGACTGTCTTATGAGGGAGGTGCTCTCCTTATGTCCATTATACAGAAGGAGAAACTGAGGCCCAGAGAGGCTGAGTGACTTGCCCAAGGACATACAGCCAGGAGTGCCAGGATCCATTCAGGTTCATAGAGTCTCTGTGCTTAGCCACTTGGGCAAATGTGTCTCTGTCATCATAGTGCATTGTATGGAACGCTCAGGATGTAATGGGCGCTGTGCTAAGCACTTCTGGCATTAACTTGTTCCCTGTACATAGTTGGAGGGTTGACCTGGCTTTTCAGAATCATAAAAACAAATTTCCTAGCCCTCACTGCTGATAGACACAGCTAACACGGAGCGTGTGATCTGAGCCAGGCACCGATCCGGATACCTTTCATATCTTGTGTTTATCTCGTCGCACCAAGCAGTTACATCACTCAAGAAGTGACAGGTGCTTTGGGAAACTGTTTAGCAGTGGCTGAAAAAGTTAGACGTACCGTTACTGTATGGCGCAGCAATTCTCCTAGGTATGTAGCCAGGAGAAGTGGAAACATACGTCCTGGTAGAAGCTTGTACGCGAATATTTGTAGCAGCCTTATTCACAGTCACCAAAAAGGGGAAATGACCCAAACGTCCGTCTCCTGATGGATGGATAAACAAAACCGGTCTATCCATCCAGTGGAACGTAATTCCGCCATAGAAAGAAAGGAAGCAGAGACACGAGCTACAGTGTGGGTGAACTTAGAAAACGTTGCCCAGTGAAAGAAGCCAAATACAAAAGGCCATGTATTACATGATTCTGTTTATATGAAATGTCCAGGACAGGCATAGCCGTAGAGACAGAAACATTATTGGTTGCCAGGGGCTTGGGCGGGGGGGCGGGGGAGTGGCTATTAATGGATGGGGTTTCTTTTTGGGGTGATGAAAAATTCTGGAATTAGTAGTGATTTTTGCACAAGTGTATGAGTATATGAAAATCCACTGAACCGTATACATCTCCAAAAGGTGAATTTTTAAGAATTGGTAAAGGGAAAAGAGGAAAAGGGGCTCTCCAGGGTTCAGACCGAAGAAGTCTGAAATTCAAACAGTTTTTTTTTTAAGTTTTTACTTATTTATTTAAGTCATCTCTACACCCAACACAGGGCTCGAACTCACACCCCGAGATCAAGACTCACAGGCTTCTCGAACTGAGCCAGCCAGGCACCCGTGAAACTCAAACGTTTATTGAGTGCCTGCTGTGTGCCAGCTACTGAATTAAGTTTATAAACATTTTAACCTGCCGACACCCTGCCAGGGGAATGCCTGGGTGGCTCAGTCGTTAAGCGTTGCCTTTGGCTCAGGTCATGATCCCAGGGTCCAGGGATAGAGCCCTGTGTCGGGCTCTCTGCTCGGCAGGAAGCCTACTTCTTTCTCTCCCTCTGCCCCTGCTGTGTTCCCTCTTGGCTGTCTCTTTGTCAAATAAATAAATAAAATCTTAAAAATAAATAAATAAAAAGCACCCAGCCAAGGTGGATCCTCTAAGGGAACTCATTTTGCTGGTGGGGAAACTGACCTGAAGGGGGCGGACCCTTTGTCCAAGGTCAAGCAGAGGATAGTGGAGCCCCAGCCTCAGGGCCCTGGAGCTGACAGGGGAGTTGACGTGTGGAAGCAGTCATTCCCCTGGGGTGTTGGGACCACCAGGGTTGGGAGTACGTGGCCAGGCCAGCTGGACTGGACTCAGGCTCCACAGAGAAGTCGAGAGCCAGAGGGCGGGGACCCTACTTACCCAGCAGGGCTGGGCGGGGCCGCTGGGTGGGCCAGCAGCTGTCCGGGCTGCTCTCACTTCCTCTTCCTCCTCCTCACCCCCAGATCCGCTTCATCCTCATCCAGAACCGGGCAGGCAAGACGCGCCTGGCCAAGTGGTACATGCAGTTCGATGACGACGAGAAACAGAAGCTGATCGAGGAGGTACACGCCGTGGTCACTGTCCGAGATGCCAAACACACCAACTTCGTGGAGGTGATGCCCTGCCACCCCCCCACTCGCCTTTTTCCTCGGCCTGGCCTTGCCAGCCTCCTGCCCGGCCTCTGACCGCCACAACTGCTCAGACCCTCTTTCCTTCCTACGTTCATTCCCTCAACATGCTTTATTTATTTATTTATTTATCCATCTATTATTTTTATTTATTTTTTTAGAAGATTTTTTATTTATTTGTCAGAGAGAGGGAGAGCACAGGCAGGGGGAGCTGCAGGCAGAGGGAGCAGCGGCCTCCCTGCCGAGCAGGAACCCCAATGCAGGACTCGGGGCTCTATCCCAGGACCCCAGGATCATGACCTGAGCTGAAGGCAGACACTTAACTGCCTGAGCCACCCAGGTGCCCCTCTCCGGTCCCCTTAAATCAAGAAGGCTCTGCCTTTAATTGCCATGACATCAGCTGGGCTGGTTGTCCCATAAATTCAACACACATTTGTTGGGGTGTCTGCTGTATAGCAGGCACTGTTCTAGGCATGGGTCCCTGCCCTGGGAGAGCTGATGTTCTGGTCGGAGGGAGACTGAACGTAAAGACAGTGTCTAGCGGGTGGTGAGAGGTGCCAGGGAGAAAAAGCAGCCGCTGCAGGAGATGGAGGGGCTGGGGTACGTGCACTGGGGGGTTGGTATGCAGGTGTGAGTGATTTCTGTAGTAAGTCTGGGAAAGGAAACAGCGGAGCCGAGGCCTGAAGGAGTTGAAAGAGCAGAGGGAGAGGATATCTGAGAAGGAGCACCCCAGACTCAGGGAACAGCAAGTGCAAAGGTCCTGAGGTGAGACATACTGGGGCATTCCTGGAGTAGTAAGAAGGCCAGCATGGCTAAGGTGCTGTAAGCCAGAGAGGGGGGCCGACACAGTCAAGGAGATACCAGGGACAGATGGCAAAGGGCCTCGTGGGCTGCAGGGAGGACCGGAGCTCTTGTGAGTGAGGTGGCAGCCTTGGGAGTCTTTTGAGCAGAGAGAGGACATGGGCCAATTTAGGGAAGAGCAAGTTGAGGATGAAGACCAGGAGTGAGACGTCTGTTCACACCCCAGAGGAGAAGCCGGAGGGGGTGGTGAGGCCGAGTGCAGAGAGGGGGCAGGATGCCGTGATGTGGAAGGTTCTGCACACAGGGGACAAGGAAGGCCGCGGGACTCACGAGGGGAGGGACGATCGGCAGAGGGGAGCAACGGAGAGAAGAGCAGCCATGTCTAGAGGTGGGAGGTAAGGAGGTAGAGAAAAACCAGGAGACTGGGGGGGTCCCGACAGCCTAGAGAAAAGGATTTCCAGCGGGGGTGGCACAGTGGGTTAAGCCTCTGCCTTCGTCTCAGGTCATGATCCCGGGGTCCTGGGATCAAGCCCCGCATCGGGCTCTCTGCTCAGCAGGGATCCTGCTTCCTCTGCTCTCTCTCTGCCTGCCTCTCTGCCTACTTGTGATCTCTGTCGTCAAATAAATAAATAAAATCTTAAAAAAAGAAAGAAAAGGGTTTCCAGGAGGAGGATAGGATGAGGGGCCTTGTGGGGAGCAGGGTGGGGGGGTGAGCCCGCAGAGTGAGCAGGCCCACTCCCCTGGGGTGTCCTGCCGCCAGTGCCATGTGGCCTCCTACACCGAGTGCCAAGGGACCAGGAGCGGGTCAGTGAGGCAGGCTGGTCAGATGAGAACGTCCAATGGGGGCCTGACACCCAGATCTCAGGTTCCTCGTGATGCCAGGCCATCACTCATTCATGATGACCCCGAGAGGGTAGGGCTGGGATGGAGCGGCGGGGTCGGGGGAGGGCACCTGACTCAGCCTCAGGGTCCAGGAGGGCTTCCCGGCAGAGGGAATGCTGCGGGGGACAAGAGAGAACTGGGGACTGTCAGGAGGAGGAGACACGAAATAAATAACGTCTCTCTTACAAGACTGAGGTCAGGGCAGGCTTCCTGGAGGAGGGCTTATGAGAGCAAAACCGAAGGTGAGTGGCCAGCGAGAAAGGCCTAGGCCACCCAGAGTTCTGCCTCTCGTTTGTTCACTCGTACACATTCCTTAGTACCTGTTACTCTCCTGTACTGCTGTGCTAACCGATTACGACAAACATAGTGGCTCAGATCAACGCGGATTCGTTGTCATAAACGGTTCTTGAGGGCAGGTGTCCGAAATGGGTCAGCAGGGCTGGGTTCCCTCTGCCAGCTCTGGGGAGCGTCCGTTTCCTTGCTCTCACCCGCTTCTTGAAACCTCTCTCTCCGAGCCACACTCTCCTGTCTTCCTCTTTCCTTTATGGGGACCCTTGTGATTATTCTGGGCCCATCTGGAAGATTTAGGGTCCCCCCCATCTCAAGATCCTTAGCTGAGTCACACCTGTACAGTTCTCCTGTCCACAGAGTCTGGGGATCAAGGTGTAGACCCCTTCCTGTGCAGGGTCCTGCTGGGGACACAGTGATGACAACCCCAGCTCACAGTCCAATGAAGAGACCGACTCATCCCCAGACAGTGACGCCTGGGGACATGGACACAATGGCAGGCGGGGGGACAGAAGGGTGACCTGCCCCAGCCTGCAAGAAGAGACTTATCTGAGACCATGTAGCCAGAGAAGCCAGGAATGTCTGGGGCGGGTCCCTGAGAAGCCCGCAAATTGACAACCGAGGTGTTGGGACAAGCAAGGAGGGTGATAGTGGGAGAGGGAGAATTTCAAGTTTAAAAAAAAAATGAAGTGCTGCCCAGGGTCAGCTGTGACATTGTCATGGTCGGTGGTGGCATCTCCAGATGGTTTTCCTGTCCTCTCAGCCTGCCTTAAACCCTCTCCTCCAGAGCAGGGACCTTCAAACATTTGATTGTGTGTCTGTATCAGTTAAAAAAAAAAAATAGTAGGCGCTTCTGGTTGGCTCTGTCAGTGCACAATTCTTGATCTCCGGGTCATGAGTTCCAGCCCCGTGTTGAGTGTGGAGCCTAACTTAAACAAAAAAAAAAAAGTAGAGTTTGCATCCTGATACATGTTTATTAATCCGCGGGTTATGTGCGGGAATTACTACAGTAATGTCAGAAAACATCCTCGAAGTACAGAAATTAACAGAATGAGCTGGCGTGGGGGGAGAAAAAAAGAGGCCTAGACATCAGGGACTAATGTTAACTTTCGCCGTTGCCACCAGGTGGCGACAAAACGCGCGCGCGCCTAGACCCAGCGCGGGGGTGGGGGGGGGGGGGGGGGGGGGAATTGGCCCATTTGAGCCGAAGACACTGCTTAGCGAACCAGTGTGCCTGTTTGTATGTCCGTCTCTTAATCTTCTTCCCCACGTGCATAAGGTTAGAGTCTGCGTCCTTGGTTCGTACGTATTTATTCCTGCGTTGTGTGTGTTCGTTAGCGTAGAAATAGTTCTGTTTTGTATTATAGTTCAGTTCGAAGTCAGGCTGGGCTTCTCTTGGTTCCGGGTGGTGACCGCACTGCCCTGCACGGAGCCTGCCTCACAGGTGGCCTCTGTGCGATGATGGCTTGTTAGTTCCAGGCTAAGGACTGCGACTTTCTCCAGAGGCGACAAGCAGGGAGCCATGGTGGGTGTCATGGAACAGCCCAGCTCCCTCTCAGCTCTGGGCTTTTTCTTACAAGCTGTTTCCTCGGCCTGGGGCACTCCTGTTCCTTCTCCAGGTCTCAGTCCGGATGTCCCCCCACCCTCCTCCAGGAAGCCCTCCTGGGTCAGCTGCCCACACTAGGGATGACAGAGGATGACTGTCTCTCCACTGGGCCAGGAGCCCCGGCAGGAGAGGGCCAGGCCTGTGTGAGTCACGCCTGTGTCCCCCGCACAGGGCCAGACAGAGCAGGGCCTCAGGAACCACGCGTGGGGTGAAGGACCCTGCCCAGCCCGCTGGGTCCTGGGCATGCCCCGTTGCTGACAGCCTCTCTGTCCCACAGTTCCGGAACTTCAAGATCATTTACCGACGCTACGCTGGCCTCTACTTCTGCATCTGCGTGGACGTCAACGACAACAACTTGGCCTACCTGGAGGCCATCCACAACTTCGTGGAGGTGTGCGGGCGGGCTCCACGGGGCCCAGGGGTGCCAGGAACACGCCTCATCTCTCTGCGGAGTGCACAGATCCCTGCCCCCCCAACCCTCCCCCCACCCGGGAGGGCAGCTTCCCTCTGCGCACACGGTGCCTCTTTGTGCCTCTTCCTATGTCCGGCCTGTCTTTCTGCCCTCCTCGGCTGCTATCTGATCGTCCTTGTTCTTGTTTCTGCCTCTGATTGTCTTCGTCACGCTGTCTCTTCCTTCTCCCTCCCCCTCCCTCAGTTCCTCTTGGTCCCTCTTCTGGTCTTTTGCCATCTCTTTCTGATGGTGACCTTGGCCCCATCCCGAGCATCTCCCTCAGACCAGCTCTCACCCTCTCTGCCTTCTCCCCCAGGTCTTAAACGAGTACTTCCACAATGTCTGTGAACTGGACCTGGTGTTCAATTTCTACAAGGTGGGCTCCCTGGGGAAGAGGAGGGGGCCAGGAGGGGTCCAGACCGGCATCCGTTGCAGGGGTGGGAGTTGCGGGTGGGGGGGTACCCCTCTCTCACTCCGGGGTCTCCCCACACTCTCCCTTCGCTCAGGTTTACACGGTCGTGGACGAGATGTTCCTGGCCGGCGAGATCCGCGAGACCAGCCAGACGAAGGTGCTGAAACAGTTGCTGATGCTCCAGTCCCTGGAGTGAGGGCAGCCAGCCCCTCCGGCCCGGCCCCCGCTCCCTGCTCGCCCCCTTCTCTGGGCCGGGGCCGCCCGGCGCCCGCCCTCCCCGGGCCAGGAGGAAGGCCCCAGCTGGGCCTGGGCCACCGGGGAGGGGACTGCACCCCACTGCCTCTGGGCCCAGCTGTGGGCGGAGGCCACCTCGCGTGAACCGAGTAACCGTGCTGTTGTTGTGTGACGCTGTGAGTGCGTGTGTGGAGCCCCCAATAAACCCGTGGTCCCGCCCGGCTTGTGTCTCTGAGTGCTGGACTGTCGGACCTAGGAGCCGCAGGCCCTCGGGACGCCCTGCCATCGGGGCGTCTGTCAGCCGGTGGACAAACACCCCTCGGCCTGGGGAAGGCCGGCCACCCAGGGGTGCTCGAGTCTGCTGCTGCCCCTAGAGAGCCGCTGAGCCTGAAATGGGGGACGGATTTAGACCCTAGGCATTGGCCACTAAAATAACAACACTCCTGCCAGCGCCTGCCAGCACCAAGCGTTCCCATGCGTTAGCTCCCCAAACCTCACAAGATCCCAAGGAAAGGACTGTAGTACCCCCACTTTCCAGGTGAGATCACTGAGGTTCAGAAGAGGAGAAGACTTGCCAAAGTCACGTCGCTAGCGTGGTGAAAAGCCAGGTCTGTTCGAAGCCCGGGCTTCATCGTTTTTAACCCCCAGACTGGACGGTTGGCCTCTTGCCTTGTTCTTCATCTTGAAGATGGGTTGGTAACGGTTTTGATCTCACAGGGTGTACTTGAGCATGAAGATAATGCTGGGAACGTTTAGGAGGTGCCTGACGTTAGAACACATTCACTCCACAGACATTAAGTGCCTGCTGTGTGCTGGGCCCAAAAGGGGACAGCGAGCGCTAGTTAAGTGTAACTAACATGATTTCAGACATGGGAATCGAGCCTGCAGAGGGGACGCCTCCACAGATACGGCTGTCACAGCAGCGTGTCTGTTTCTTCCTGCCGCTGCAACCCGTTACAGCTTCAACCAACAGTGACAGGCGACTGGCCACCTGGGATTGGGGGCACAGGGCGAGGCCCAGATACACAGCTGGGTGAGGGGGTGGGAGTGGGTCAGGGGAACGTGCTGCGGTTGTCAGGACCTGGCGAGTGTCTGGGTTACCCGCAGCCACCGCGACACATGACCACAAAACCGGCGGCGTGAAATGAGAAATGGAGCCCCTCACCATCCTGGGGGCCCGAAGTCCAAAATCAAGGCATCAGCAGGTCCGGGCTCCCTCCCAGCACTGGAGGGGATCCTTCCTTGACTCTTCCCTCCGGACATGCCCTGAGTGGGGGCCACACACACACACCCCATCTCTGCCGCCCTCTCCCCAGGCTCTTTACTCTGGGCCTGTACCTCTCCCTTTCCTTTCTCTTGGAGGCACACTGGCCATTGGGTTTAGGGCCCACCAACATAATCTATGCCATCTCAGCTCAAGGTCCTTTAACATAATTACATCCTCAAAGAGCCATTTTCCAAATAGGGTCACTTCCACGGGTCCCAGGTCTGGACCTGTTTTGGGAGGGCGCCACCCTCAATTCCTAGAGTGAGTCTGAGAGACCACGGGTCATCCAGGAAAGGCGATCAGGAGGCCTGTGGACACGCGGGCCTGAGGCACAGAGAGGGAAGGACGCACGGAGCTTTGTGTGCTTTCAGCAAATGTTTCTTGGGCACCTGCTATGTGCCAATCACTGTTTAGCTGTGGGGAGGGTACCACAATGAGCAGGATAGGTCTCCTGAGGGTGATGGGGCCATGCCTAATTAAGCCAACAGTGGGTATGTCACAAAGTCAGGAGTGTTGTGGAGGCAAGTAAAACGGGGCAGGGATGGCTCTGCTGTTCTAGATTCTGGTCAGGGAAGCCTCTCTGGAGGAGGTGACCCTGAGCTGAGGGCAAAAGGGGTAAGGGAGGGCACCTGGGTGGCTCAGTGGGTTAAAGCCTCTGCCTTCGGCTCAGGTCATGATCCCAGAGTCCAGGGATCGAGCCCCGCATCGGGCTCTCTGCTCAGTGGGGAGCCTGCTTCCTCCTCTCTCTCTGCCTGCCTCTCTGCCTGCTTGTGATCTCTGTCTGTCAAATAAATAAATAAAAACTTTAAAAAGAAAGAAAGAAAGGAAGAAAGTAAAACTTCTAGACATCAAAAGACGCTATGAGCAAAATGAGAAGATGAGCCACAAGCTGTGAGAAGGTATTTGCAACACAGGTAAATGACAGAGGGATTCGGGTCCACAATATATAAAGAACTCCTATGAATCAATAAGAATGAGACAACTGAATGGAAACAGTGGGCAGAAGAGGAAGGGGGAAAGGGCTCCAGAAGGTCTGGAAGGTGGGGAAAGGAGGTAGGTTATGCACACGGGATGGGAGATCTCTACCTCGCACCATACACGGAACATCTGAGATGTAGCCTATCTGTAGTTACTAGCCACGTGAGCGAAATAGGCTTGGCAGAAGGGTGTGGGAACTTCATTAACCTGGTTGAGAGTGAGTTCAAGGTAAAGATGGAAGAAATTCTTTCTGATGAGGAAGGGAGAGGTTGGCCCAGCCCAGAGGGAAAATAGGAGGCAGGAGACAAGGCTGGCTCCATGCCCAACAACTGTCAGAGTCTTGTCATGGTTAGCTAGGGTGGGTCAGCCTTGCCTTTGCTTCTCCTTGATGCCTGCACTTGGCTGAAAACATCCTCTCTAATTGACGTAACACAGGCCAGCTGCTTCTGGTGTATAGCTAGATGCTAAGAGCTTCCAGAAGCCTGTTTCCTTGAGTAGCATAGAAACCACCATCCTTCCGGGCACACAAGCTGGAAACTTCGAAGGGATTCATGACTCATCTCTGTTTCTCACATCCCCCATCCCAGCCAGCAGGAAATCCTATTGGCTTAACCTTCGGAATATATCAGAAGCCTGACCCCCACAGCTACCACCCTGGTCCCAGCACCATCATCTCCTCCCTTAGCTGTTGCAAGCCCCTTCTTGCTGCTGCCATTTCAGTCCCCAACAGAAAGTTTCTTATGTGGCAGAATACATTCACAGTAAGTTCATGATGTCTTTTCCCTCTTTGGATCCCTCCTGGGGACTCAGGGCACCTCTGTCCCCTCTCTTCCCTCACCCCCTTACCCTCTCTCCCTGGCTCACTGAGTTCCATGCACACTGGTCTCTTTGCTGTTCCTTGACCCAATGAGGCACAGTCCTGCCTCAGGGCCTTTGCACTGGCCCTGCCTGCCTAGGACACTCTTCCCCCAGATATTTGTGTGGCTCATTCTCTCACCTCTTTCAGGTCTCTGCTCAGACATCACCTCCTGACCTCACCATAGAAAATAGTTGTCCCTGGGGCTCCTGGCTGGGCTTAGTTGGTAGAGCACATAACTCTTGATCTCGGGGTTGTGAGTTCAAGTCCCACATTGGGCATGGAGCCTACTTCAAAAGAAAAAAAGATAGTTATTCTTCTCTTCATATACCATATCACCATCTGTCTCAGAACCTGTTTTAGTTCCTGATTTCTTTCCAGTGCATTTATCACCAGTTGACATGTGTGTGTATCACGTCGCGACTAGAGTGTCAGCTCCACAGCATAAGAAGAACTGCCTTGGTCCAGGCTGTATTCCCATGTCTAAAGAGTAGCTGTGGTGGGCACCTGGGTAGCTCAGTTAAGCGTCTGCCTTCGGCTCGGGTCATGATCCCAGGGCCCTGGGATCAAGCCCCACATTGGACTCCCTGCTCAGCAGGAAGCCTGCTTCTCCTTCTCCCACTCCCCCTGCTTGTGTTCCCACTCTCCCTGTGTCCCTCTCTGTCAAATAAATAAACAAAATCTTTGGAAAAAATTTAAAGAGTAGTTCTGCAATAATTACACATAGTAGATGCTCATGAAATAGTCCATGAATGAACAAATGAATCCTCTCCACAGCTCTAAAAGGTAAGGACTCCGACTCTCCCATTTTACAGATGAAGAGACAGAGGCAAGGAAAGGCAACCTCACCCCCGCAAGACCATCCAGCTCCCATCTGAAGTTCTCACTGCACTTAGCCCAGGACATGCAAGTTCTCCGATGGGGTCCGGATGGTGTCCCCGCTGCGGGGCAAGCAAGGGCCATGAGACTCCCACAGGTGAAGTTGCTTAGCTGGGGGGTCACAGCCAGGAAATGGCAGATCTGGGATCAAACCCTGTGTGGGGTCAGGCCATCCTTTCACCTTGAGCTGCAGGCGAGTCCGTGTGAGAGGCTGAGCCAAAGACTGAACATCTTCATTCCATCTGTCGCAGCTTGTTTTTCCTTATCAACTTATTGGGTGATCCTGTATCCTCGCGCCCCACCCAGGGCACACACCTGTGTGTATTTCAAAGCAAATCTCCAGTGTCCCATCGTGCAGCTGCATGTCCCTTGGCAAGCCTGAGAATCATCAGATCTTCACCCATTAAAAAATCATAAAATCGCAGACTTGTCGACCTCTGGAGGCGATGCCGTGACCTCCTTGGTGCTGACTCACTCTGATGCTGTGGGATGGCTCAGAGTTGCAACCAACAGTGAGGCCACTAAAGCCAAAAGGCCCTGGGTTCGAATCCCAGCTTCCCAGCTAGCACCCCGCCCCCCCGCCACCACACAGCCTCTAGGGAGGGTCTCAGTTTACTCATCTGTCCAATGAGGGCAGTAATAACAGTCCCTACTTCAGAAAGCTCTTGGGAGGTTTGCATGGGTAAATACGTGTCAGGCACTTAGATCCATCAACAGATGAACAGATCAGACCCATGCTACAGCGAGGCCAAGCCTTGAAAACATTTCGTCCAGTGAAAGAAGCCAGACACAGACGCTACAGAGTGTATGACGCCATTTGTATCAAATCTCCAGAAGCCACACTCTGTGTACATCAAAAACCATTGACTGATACACTTGTATCTCAAAAGTTACGTGTCATGTGATTGCCTTTATATAATGCCACAAGATTCTAGAAATGTAGAACAGATCAGGGGTCACTAGGGGCTCAGAAGGGGGGAGAGCAGAGAAAATGGAGTGGCTGCACCTGGTGTTGGTGGGGGGGTGGCCACCCTTGGGATGAAACGTTCTGTATCTTGACTATCGCTGTTGGTGTCCTGATTGTGATACTGGAACTTCGATCCTCCTTACTTGTGGATTTCATGTTTGTGAATGCAAATATGGAAAAAAACCCCAAAGTCAATGCTGGCCGTCCTTTCTGGGTCATTCCCAGACATGCACAAAGCAACAAAAAACTTGAGTTGCCGGACACACACATTCCCA